CAGAGAGAGAGAGCATGAGAGGGGGGAGGATCAGAGGGAGAAGCAGACCCCCTGCTGAGCAAGGAGCCCGATATGGGACTCGATCCCGGGACTCCAGGATCATGACCTGAGCCGAAGGCAGTTGCTTAACCAACTGAGCCACCCAGGCGCCCCTGGAAGTAGTGAGTTTTAATTAAGTACTTTGGATTCAGATTTTTATGTATTGGTGTTTCGCTCTTACATCTTTTTTGGCTGATGGAGTCCCCTTCAAGCTTGTTCCTACCATCACAGACTCTAGTAGTCTGATAGTGTCTTGCTTTCTAGTGAGAAAATGTTCCAGGTTCATCTTCATTTTCTTTCTCAGACCTGGAATGATCCATTTCTTGTAGAGAATGGCAGGGATGCCTGGGTGGCTCAGTTGGTTAAGCATCTGATCTCAGGGTCCTGGGATCGAGCCCTGCATGGGGCTCCCCACTCAGTGGGGAATCTGCTGCTCCCACTCCTGCCCCTCCCCCTGCTCTTGCTTGCTCTCTCTCAAAATCTTTTAAAATAAAAAATGGCAATTAGGAACTGTCTGGGTGGGTGGTGCTCATTAGCTTCACTTTACGGATGATCAGATCAGACCCTTTGGAAAAGCAATGGGGAATGGTCAGCATTTGGAGGGCAGTGATGGCACTTGGTAACTTGAGGGAAGCTTCTTTTCATTTGATACCGTAATTGTGTAAGGTTGTGTTACCTTAAATTTCAACCACAGAACATAATAAGGCCATTTGGGGAGAGCAGATCAGACTCTAAATGGACCCATGCAAGTAATAGTATGAGGTTTATAGTGTGTCATAAAGCTGCAGAAGCTACTATGTGGTCTTGACAACCAGTAGCTTAATGAGGGAGAGAAACCGTCCAGGTTGTGGGGCTTTTGTTTGAAATTGCCCAAGAAAAGTTGAGGGTCACATACACTGAGCCTCTGAATAAAAGGTAGTGGTCTGGGCTCTGGAGATAAAGGATTAAAGTTTGTTTTAATTTTTTTAAAACTCCAGTATAGTTAACAATAAAGGGTTAATGTTATTTCAGAAAGTCTAAGGCTACCTTCCAGCCAGTTCTTGCCAAAGAGCCAGTTGCTCCCTGACTCATGCATTTGGCAGTAGAGGTCCTGTTTAATGCTGTGAAAGTTCTAAGAGCTGGTTTTGAGAAAATTTTAGAGCCTCGTCTGTGCTAAGGGTCTGTCTACTCTTATTAAACTACTTGATCCTGTTGAAGGCTTGAGGCTCTGTGTTCTTAGGCTGGAGGTTCTTCTATCTGTATCCAAAATACTTGTATTCAATAGAACTCCCTGAATTTTGTGAGTCTTAAATTGGAGAAAAGTAGAAAATGTCAGGTTGCTGTGCTGTATATTACTTTCATACTTGAAAAAGATAGGAATCTAAAACATTTAACTATATACTGTGTCCCAAAGGTCTAGTTGTTTAGGATTAGTCAGTAAGCAAAACCATTAACTTGCCCTGCGGGGCGTGCATCCCATTGCACTAGCAGTCAATATACATTCTCAACTCCCTTTAAATTTTCAGTCCCGCATAAGACAACAGGGGGGTTTACAGATGAGAATCTGCTCAGAAAATTGCAATTTTACTAGCTTACAACTGGGAATTTGATGTAGCATGCAGTCATCCATCCCAAACTACAGTTGCCTGGACTGGTAATAGCCTTCTTGGCCCCCCAACTGCCATAGTTGGACCATTCCAGTTCATTCTTTACTTTAGCACCTGTGATAAGCTTTTGAAAAGCAAATTCATTCTGACCCTTAGTTTCAAAGCCTTTGATAGACTAATTGCCAAACATAATAGTACATCCACACTGTTGAGTACTACTTGGCAATTAAATGATAAAAGCAACAATGAATGAGGGTGAAATCGCAAAAACATACTGAACAGAAGCTGGACACAAAATAGCACAATAATACATGGTTCTATTTACATTACACTAGTATCTAGTGCCAACCAATTAATGTTAATTTGGGACCAGCAATGGGTGTGGGAAGGATGCCTTAGGTGTTTACAGGGTGTCTGGGTCGCTCAGTTGTTAAGGCCTTTGCCTTCAGCTCAGGTCATGATCCCAGACCCTGAGATCGGCCCCTCATTGGGCTCCCTGCTCAGCAGGAAGCCTGCTTCTCCCTCTCCCACTCCCCCTACTTGTGTTCCCTCTCTTGCTGTCTCTCTGTCAAATAAGTAAGATCTAAAAAAAAAAGGGGGGGGTGTTTACATAGATCTATGTTAAACTCTGAGCACACTTAAAACAGACTTAAAAATTGTATATCTATAGTCCCTTTAAAAAAGGCCTTTGGCTACCTATTGGCCTCTGAGAGCCTTTGAGGCATGATCAAGTATTTGCCTGTTTTTACCCTGAACTTTTGCCACTCACCCTGGCTATTCCTGCCTGTTACCTAGCTTTTTTCTACCTGTAGGCACTTGGTGTCTTTTGCTTGGAATATTCCTTTGCGTGGCTAGCTCTCCTCACCTTTGTGGCTTAGCCTAAATATTACTAAGAGGTATTCTCTATCCCATTGGTTTTCTTCAAAGCACTGATAGGCTAGAATTTATCTCTTGACTTCCCTTACTTACTGCCCATTTTCCCTGAAAGTGAAATAGCTTTTGTAGAACAGGAACTTGTCTGTCTTCACCCATGGCCTTGACAGTAGGATCAATAAATCGTAATTGAATGAATTGAGAAGTGACTACCAAATAGTGGTACGTATGAAGTTAATATGAATTCATGTGTCAAATTCAGATAGGAAAACTCCATATAAAAATCATGTATATAGTAAGTAAATAGGTATGTGAAAACTAGATTTGAGATGTAAATGGTAAGAAAAAACGTGGTTAAATGACGAGTTGGAGTTAAGACAGAACCTGACTGGACACCTCTTAAGCTGTAATGATACTGCCTCCCTACTTCATGAAATCACAAAGAAAGTGAAAATCTGAGAAACATAATTATAATATATTAATAATGGCTAAAACCTTTGGAGCCTTTATTATGTGCCAGACTCAGAATGACCTCATTCAGTAACTGAAAACAACTCTTGAGTTGTTACTGTTCTTAGCCATGGTTTGTAGATGAGGAAGCAGAGTCTCAGACTGTTACTTGCTGGAATTTATAAGTAAATGTTGGAGGCAATATTCAAATCCAGGATTTCTGACTCTTGAGTTCATGCTCTTATTCAGAACTGTTCTCTTGACTGGACTTTTTTGGTCAGTCTTTATTTGGGTGATAGTCTTATTTGTGAGGTTGACAGACTTTATGTGAACATTGAAAAAAATGGCAAAGGGACGCCTGGGTGGCTCAGTCGGTTAAGCGTCTGCCTTCAGCTCAGGTCATGATCCCAGGGTCCTGGGATCAAGTCCCGCATCGGGCTCCCTGCTCCGCGGGGAGCCTGCTTCTCCCTCTGCCTCTCTCTCTCTCTCTCTCTATCTCTCATGAATAAATAAATAAAATCTTTAAAAAAAAAGAAAAAAAATGGCAAGCATTTTACCTAGAAGATAGTTATATACCCATTCCATTTAAAAGTAATAGAATGTAATAATAGTATAAGCAAGACCAAACCTGGCAATGAGAATGTCTTAAGTAAATTCAGCCCAGCCCTTCACACAGAAGCTTTCCCCGACACCCAGCAGCTAGTTTTCAAAAGGTTTTCTGTTCTTGTGTCTTAATGCTGAGACAGAGGCAACCTGTTTAAGAGCCTTAGCTTTGAAAGGGAACTTCACAAGAGCTTGCGGAGAGGGCTGGTACACGGAACAGTTATTTCCTATTTGACAGCAGCTACCTCAGTTTATGCTCTAGTACAATGGGATTATCAACCACTGCCAGTGACACCAGGTTTTTAACCAAATAGTATGGATTCCTGAATTTTTTTTTTTGAGTTTGTTTCTCACTATGACCTCTCCCTTAGCATCAGGCCAAAGGACAGCCCGACTGTCGGCGGCATATGACAACACCTACATTTTGAAGATGGAAAGGACGGGAGTGTTGCCCCTGAAGCGGGGAGAGGAGGGGAGAGGAGATACCCTCACTGGAGTCCTGGTTAAAGGAACTAAACCGCTTAGTATACAAACGGAAGCTAGTCTCAGCCAGGTGGCCGGCGGAGGGCCTAGAGTGGTCGCTGGCCGGAGTCCTGCTGGTTGTTCCCTGTAGCCCTCCCGGGCTGGAGTTGCAGCGACGCCTCGGGGCCGCTAGGTGGCAGCCGCGCGTTTCCAAAGCTGGCTCGCCTACCAGAGAGCCCCGCTGGGAGCCCGAGAACCGACCCGAGAGCTCTGGAGGAGGGTGAGGGGGAGAGAAGTCCTGGAGACCCCCCTCCCCCGCAGCGGCAAGGACGGAGACATCAGAAGGGGTCTCAGAGTGCCAGCCGTCCGAGAGGGCATCTGGGACACGCCACGGTCCTGCGTGGACTCACAGGGCGGGCGAAAGCGAACCCCCTTAAACGGAGCCGCCCCGGGGGCTGGGCCTGGCCCGCCCCCTCCCGGCTCCCCACTGAAGCGCTAGTGGGTGTGAGTGAGTGCTAGTAGCGAATGTGGGTGAGTGAGGACGCTCCGCACCTAACTGCGTTCTTGGGGACCGCCGCCTTCCCAATTCGGGCAGCATTTGCGGCGCGGCGCGGGTCATTGCGCCCGGGCGCACAGCTCCGACGGCTTCCAGCGCTCACCAGCTCCAGCCTCGCGGGCTCTGCCCCTTCGGAGCTGCGCGTCCCGTCTCCGAGAGTCTGAGCGCCTCCCTCTAACCCGGAGCCGCCAGGAGGAGGAGGAGGAGGAGGCGGTGGAGAGGCCGCGGCAGGCAGGCAGGCAAGCAGGCTGGGCCGCCTTTGATGTGGGCGCGGCGCACCCAGCCGAGCTGAGCGCCCGTCCGGCCGCGCCCCGAGGGGGTAGCCCCCGGGCCCCGCATCCTCATTGTGCCGACTCGGGCCCGGGCCCGCCCCCGGCCCCCCGCCCCCTCGCCGCCCGCGCGTAGAAAACGCCCCGGCCGCCGCCAGTGGTGGGAGGCGGCGATGCGCACGGCCGGAGAGACGCGGAGGAGGAGACATAAGCCGGCGGGCGCCCAGACGGTGCGGCCGTGACGCGTTCCTGCTGCAGCCGCGCGCCCCGGCCCTGGAGCGCTGACCCCTGGCCCCGCACAGCCCCGCGCCCCGGCCGGAGATCGCGCCCCAGCTTCCAGCCCCGTCGCGCATGCTGCCTCCGGAGTGAACCGAGCAGCCAACCTCCCGCGGACGCCCGGACGGCCGGCCGGCCGGCCAGCAGTGAGCAAGCTTCCCCGCACCAGCCCGGCGCCTCCTGCACAGCGGCGGCCACCCCGTAGCCCCCGCGCCAGCCCGGAGGGCGCAGCGCTCGGGAGGAGCCGCGCGGGGCGCTGATGCCGCAGGGCGCGCCGCGGAGCGCCCCGGAGCAGCAGAGTCTGCAGCAGCAGCAGCCGGCGAGGAGGGAGCAGCAGCAGCAGCGGCGGCGGCGGCGGCGGCGGCGGCGGAGGCGCCCGGTCCCGGCCGCGCGGAGCGGACATGTGCAGGCTGGGCTAGGAGCCGCCGCCTCCCCCCCGCCCAGCGATGTATTCAGCGCCCTCCGCCTGCACTTGCCTGTAAGCGCCCGCGCGCGGGGCTGCCTACCCTGCCTGGCCGTCTGTCCGTGTGCCTGTGACTCTGTCTGCCCGCCCGGCCGTTCGTCTGACTTTCCGGCTGCCTATCCGTCTGTCTGTCCGCGCGCCCCCCTCCCTCAAGTCCCACTGACCACCTCTCCATCTCTCTCCCGCAGGTGTTTACACTTCCTGCTGCTGTGCTTCCAGGTACAGGTACGTAGGATCCTGACTCTGACCTCCCCCTGCCCCTGCCTAGCGGTGCAGGGCGACCCCCTTCCCCTGGGCCGCGCCCCCTCCCTGTGCCCCACCCCTACTGGGCGTTGAGCCCAGTGCACCTGTTCCCAGGGCGCCAAAGGGCGGCTCCGCGCGCGCCCTGCGCCGGCGGGGGACCAGCCAAGGGCAAGGGACTCTGTTGCAGGGCTCAGACTGGCGCGGCCCCTGTCGGCCTCGGCTGGGAGGAGATCCCCGGAGCCAGCGGACTCAGCCGCTGCAGTGTGCCCAGCTCCAAGCCCCCTGCCCACAACCGGAGGGGAGTTGGGACCTGAGGATTTTTTCTGCCATCCGTCCCTTAATATCCCCGGTCGCTCTTCCAAACAAAAAGGCTCCTTTGAGCCGAATGGATTTTGAGTCCAGGGAGAAAGCTTCAGTTGTAAATTACTCTGTGGTTTCAAAGGCGTTTGCAGGGGAGAGAGAGAGAGAGACAGAGAGAGAGAGAGAGGGAGAGAGAGAGGGAGAGACAGAGACAGGTCTTGGAGAGACTAGGTGAGAGGTAGCAGAGACGGGCGCTTGGGCTGAGAGGCCATTGCCCTTGAAGCCGCTCCAGAATGGGCCACGCTCCGCACACCCTCGCCCAAGGTGGTGCAGCCCTCGACTGATTCCCCGCCTTACTCCCCGCTCGCTCGCTCTCTGTGAATCAGAAGAGGGCTTGGCGCTCAGCCTGGAAAGCACTTGCTAAAATCTGATCTGTTACTTCAGCAGCTTTCAGACTCGGGAAGGTCTTGGCACGCAGACAGTTGGAACGCTCTGGCTTCCAAAGCCGTGGAAATGAAGGAAAAGGGGGGGGGGGCCCGCAGAGAAAGAGAAGAGGGAAAGAGGGAGCGACTTCAGCCCCGATTAGAACCAGACCAGGGCTGCCTCAGCGTGGTTGGGCGGGGAGGGGGGGGGCAAAGGGAAGGGAAATAGAAGTGCCAGCTACCCTAGCCCCCCACCCACCTAGAGCTGCAAGGGAGGGGCCTTAGGAGGAGCTGGATTGGGGCCAAAAGAGATTATCTGCCCCTTCCCCCTCTGGGTTGAAGGCAGGTGTCCTCACAGGGTTAGAGACGATGCTTAGGTTTTAGCCTTTGGGGTTCCAGAGGTGCCCCAAAAGAGCCTTGAGTGGGGAAAATGGTGGCTCTCCCAGCTTTATGGCTTAACGAATGTTGTGTGTGTTGAGTGCTGTTGAGACCCAGTAGCCTCTTTCAGTGTTTGGTGTGGTGGTGGGTCTGCTTACCTCCCCTTCCACTCCTGGGAGAGGATCGTTACCATCAGAATGGACATTGGGCTGGGGGAAGCTAGTTGGGGCTGGGGGCTGTGAGGATGGATGGATGGATGGACGGATGGACAGACGGACTGATGGGTTCTTTCCCCAGCTTTGGCCAGGCTGAGGTCCCCAGTGACTCCTTGAATCAATATAACTGGAGTCAGTAACTTAAAACTGGCTGTTTGCCAAAGCAGATGTGACCCTGTGGTGGCGGGGGCAGGGGTGGGGAATGGCTGGTGTCAGAGAGAGAGGCCAGTGCCAGGCATGGCCTGCCTGATTTGCAGCTGAGTCCCCAAGCAGAGGGCAGGCCCCAGGGTCACTCCAGAGGACCTGCTTGTCTGATCTGGGTGAGAGCTCTTTTCCTGCATGTTGCACCTGGAGATGGGGGACTGCTGCAATGAGCATGGAGGTAGAGAGATCTGTGGACTTTGTTGCTCAAGCCTCCTGCAGCTTGCTGCCTCTTGGTCCTTAAAGCAGGGCCCAGGAGGGGTTGCTGCAGCATCTTTGTGTTCTCTGGGGAAGCACGAGGGAGGGAACCTGGACTCTGCATCCCACCTCGACCTCCTGGCCTAGAGCTGGAGCCAGCCTCTCAGGAAAGAGCTGGGTGGTCCATCTGGGTTAGGACTTCAAGCAGGTGATGGAGCCTCCTCTCCCCCCTCTCACCTCTTCCTATCTTTTCAGACTTTCCCCATCCAAACTGCCATAAGACTGATGTATTTAACCCATGGTCCCTGCACGCATAGAGTATCTAAGGATGGGATTATGGAGGAGGCAGGCCCCTGATATGTCACACCAAAATGGTGCCCAAATGTGCTCATGTTTTGGAGAGGGCTCTCAGCTCCCCACAGATTTTCAAAAGCATCTATGAGTCCTAAAAGATAAAGAAACGGCAGGCTCCTGTCCCCATTCATGGTCTAGGAACAAAGGTGGCATGGCCATTAGAGGTAGAGATGAGGGGTGGGCCTGAAGTGTTCGTTGCTGGGAGTGTGAAGTGTGCTCCCTGCTGAGGTGGTGTTGGGCAGGCAGAGGGGAGAGCAGCTACTTTCCCGGCAGGGCAAGCTTAGAGAGGGTGACAGGAGCTCCCTGGGTGAGCAGAGCCTGGGGAGGCCTCCCTGCACGCTGGGAAGAGCTCAGAGCTTTGCAACCTGGTGGACCGGGCCTGAGCCCCAGCCTCATCTTTCCTCAGCAGTTGTGAAATGGGTGGCCTTGAGGCTGAAGTGGTACATGATAGGTGTGGAAGGAGGTTTGGAGATTCTCATTCACACAGGAGGGTACTTTGTTCTGCTGGGAAATGGATATACCTCTGCCCTTCCCATCCCCCCGCTCCCTGGTTTGGGGGGAGTTTCTGGTCTCTTCCTTCTCCCCCTCCATCAGCCAGCAGGCCCAGAATGGGCCCCCACCTCCAGCCACATTTTCGAGAGAGTACAACAGTCAATGCCAGACACTGCCTCCCCCCTCTACCCCCCATGGGGTGAGCCCCGCCCCTGCTGGCCACCCCAGGAAGCAGGAAGCTGGGAATTTAATAAAATCCCTTCTCCACACGACTTGGGACACCGCGCATAGCTCAAATCGGAAGAATTTTAAAAATTTCCGAGGGGAGCAGGCGGCGTGACCAGTAAATTGCTTTTCTGCACTTGGCTGAGCGCTGACAATGACACCGGGCTGGGCCTTTCACGCAGCTTGGCCGGCACCTGCCTGACATTGTTCCTACCGCCAGGCTCGGCTAGGTCCTGGCCTTCCCCAGACAGGCCAGGCTTGAGGCGGGCCAGGAAGGGGGGGCTTCCACCACCCACCCCTTGTCCCTCCCACAGCACCCCTTCCTCTCTCACCCACCGCCCAGTGTGTTCAAGTTTTGAAGTTTCCTTTCACGCCCCCTCTTGACCTGACCACCCCCCACACCTGGCTTCCTCCGTGAGTTTTAGAACCTTTCTTCTAGCTGGTTAGAATAGGAAAGCCAGAGACAGAGTCCTTTGGGACATGAGGAGGATGGAGAGCTGTCCTGTTGGGTAGCACTTTAAGTTTCTTAAGGCAGTGACATCATCCATCTGTGTGTCCAGTCAGATATTCATTCAACAAATACTTGCTGGAACCCCGCTTCTTGCTGGCCTTGAGAACAAGACTAGTCAGTTCCTGGCCTCAAGATGCTCCCATTCTAGAGGGGAGAGTTCCTGTGATCCTGCCTCCTGAGAAGTACGGAAGGGGGGCACATCCTGCTTCTGTCCAACCAAGTAAGACTCCAAGGCTCTTGCACCCAGAAGCTTGTTTCCTTCTTCCTGTCCTTTTTCCTCCTGAAGTAGGTGGGCTAATATTCCTACTTCACAGTTGGAGAGACTGAGGCACAGAGTGGGGAAGGGATTTGTTCAAGGCCAATGCTAAGACTCAAGACTCTGGATTCAAGATCTTGTATTCTTTCCATGACACCAGACAGACTTCTTCAGAAAGAATACTGGTGGGGAAATGGAGTTCCAAGGGGCATGCTAGGGGTTCTCAGGGAGCGCTTCCTCTTGGATTCTCATTGATAGGATCTCCATGCTACGGATGATCAGAGCCCAGATAGGTGTCTCTGATGGAGGGCACCTGACTCGGAGTCTGCAGGCCCTGATTTTCCTAGAATGTTCTGGACTGAAAGGGTCCCAGAGCCAGAGGTGGGTGTCTAGGAGGGTAGGGCCTGGGGGAGTCAGCACTCCCCTCCTGGCTTCGTTCCCAGCAGGAAAGGGGAGGGGGCACCCTGCCAGCTATCCCTGCAGCCTGAGCTAAGGAGGTGGATTGTTAAAATATCTTGCAGTGGCACCGCCAGGGTTAGCAGGCTTGGGGTAGCTCTCAGGGCACAGTGGGCCCCCAAAGGGAGATGGAGGGCGACAGCAGGGGAGACTTCCTAGCCTCAGCAGGACCTTCTGGTTCTGCAGGAGAGGTGTAGGTGTGGGAAATCAGGCTGCAGGCCCATCAGGCCAACAGCAATGCTGGTAGCCACCACCAGGCATGGTGTGCTCATGATGTGACAGGCAGGCTCCTTCGCACCTCATGGAGGCTCAGCCTCGCAACCAGCCCGAGATCAGGGAATTCTGCCGACAGGAAAGTGAGGCTCAGGGGCATGAAATAACCTGCCTCTCGCCGCACAGCAAGAGAGAGGCAGAGCGGACTTCGACTCTGGGTCACCTGGCTCTAGGCTCGAGGCTTATGAAACAGCAGTATGGGCGTTCTGGGGTGTGCCAGCCTGGTTCCAGTGGTTGCCCTGCCTTATCTTTGCTGTATGACCTTGAGCAAGTTACTTAACCTCTCTGGTCTCAGCTTCTGCATGTGTAAAACGGAAAGAAAACAACCGACCAATCCCTGCCTCCTACAGGTGGAGAGCAGGGGTCAGGGTACTAGCGCCCGTGTCTCTTGTTTTGGGAGGGCTCCCTTGCCCCCCTACCCGTGTTGGTGTGGTAAGCCCCCTTTCCCCAGGGCACTGTCACCTCCTGGTGACTAGGAGGGGGGAGATGTGGATTGGTTCCTTTCTGGGGGCAGGGGCTTTCTGTTCCACCTCTGTGTACCCCATTTTTTTGCTGGGACACTCAGGGATAGGGCAGTGCCAAGGGCCTTGCCAGGCTGGCCCGGGCTGGGGGAGAGCCACGGAGCCTCAGAGAAGGTGGAAGCCTGTTGTCTCCACTTTGGGCCTGAGTGTGGGGACTTGTTCTGGAACATTGGTGGGTAA